TATAGCGATAAACTTCATTAGTCAGCCATTTTTTTTATCTTATCAGTCCCAAACTGAAACAGGCACAGCAACGACCAACAGGAACCTACATATGAAATTTGAGAAAGATCCATCCAGTTCTCCTTAAGAAATAGTGATAACAAAAATTGTTTATGGATGGACGGATGAACAGACAGACCATGGCATAGGGTGATTGGAATCTGCGTGAGTGATATATAAGTTAGACTGGAAGACTCTTATCTTCAGTATACAAAACTACAAATAAATGTGAACTTTTTACAAACAGTAACACTTTCTACCATGGAAATACACTTCTGTTGCTAAGAAACCATCCAACACTTCTCTAAACAGAGGATTAAAATAACTTCCAATAATAAATTGCCTTACATGTTCTATTGGGAAGGATGAGGGATTGCAAATGAAATATGTTTTTGATCATGCTTGTTAAAAGCCTTAATACTTTTTCCAAAGCTGAATACTTCAATTTTACAAGAACATTTAATGAAACTAAACTTAGGTTTACAAACTTTCGTCAACATTAACATTCTTTACATGTTATCACTATTTAAAGGAACAATGAAATGACTTCATGAAAATGAAGTATTTTTTTTCCTTATAAATACAAGTATTGATACAACCATACCTACCTTAAAAAGGATAAATTCTAATGAATTGTTAAATATTTATGATAAAGCATCTTTAAATCAGATCTTTTTCTTTTGGAGATTCTCTAAAACATTTTACAGCATGTCCATAACATCTGCATGTACAAACAGATGTGAAATTTGTGATGGAAGGTTTACCATTTTTCAGGGCTGTAATATTTACCGCGGTACATTTGTTACCCAAGGAAATTTGTGTTTTGTCTGATGCGTTCTTGGGCAAGACACTTTGGCCTAATTACTCTGGATGGCATGCAATGAATGGGCCATCTGTATAATGTTCAGTAAGGTAGCCACCAGATTCTACGAGGAGACCCTTCCTCAAAATCACCCTTGAGATAAATTCAGCGAACAGTTAAATACTTCACTGTTGTCCAGCCCCCATTAACAGATCACCAATGGTATATAATAACATATACAGTTGTAGCTGATGGACAGATTATAACAGTATCATGCCATTCCATTGTTATCTATTGTATCTATAAAAGGATAATATCATTTCATAATCTTAATCATACATATATTTATCAAGTATTGGATACAAAGGCTAAGAAAACTTCAAATTAATGGATAAAAATGAGTCTAAATCACTGTTCATAAGCATTCCATTAACTAATAAAATATGTTTTACATGTCACTTGAGAATGACTATCCACACTAGACTATGAAATACTTCCTTAAACTGTCTGTTACACTATGTATAGGTCTATATATATAATGTTAAATGATGAGTATTGAGATTACATATCATAATGCTATATTTGCATACAATTAAAACATCTAATGGAATTCACAACCACTGTACAATCCAACAAATAGCACCAAACAGAAGCTAAAAGATTCTGGAATACAGGACGAGGGGCTTGAGATATGAGACAACATGTTTGTTTAAGGTACTGCTAAGAGGATTGATGTTTGAAATAAAAATGTTTGATAAACAAAATGGCTCAATATTTGAGAAAATATTATTGTCATCGAAAATTCACAGGGAGTTATGATTTGACAACAAACTTGTCACAGGGGCTTTACATCAGAGACAATATATAAGTGACATACACAGGGGCTTGATATATGAGATGTTATATTTGTCCCTGCATCTGCACTGGGCTTAATGCCACACTTAGAGGCTACAGTAAAAAAAACAGTGGCAGTGTATGTAAATATTAAATACCAAACACATACAGCACTGGGTCCTGATGCTGGTAAACACGTAAACATCAACTCTTGATGTAAAGTTTCATACTTTATATCCACATAAACTGTATTAGAGATAAAGGTTTGATGACATATGTCTATTTTTTGCTGTCTCCAAATACTTTGCACATTCATCCACTTCTGTACTTCATAAACAACATAATCATTAAAACATGAAATCATAGAACACAGAATCAGTTATCATATCTCAAAATCTTTCTATAAGTGGAAAACTCATTTTCATAACATTTTGGACGGATCTTTTTTTTTCTTTTGGTTTCATGATAAACAATCTGAAGAATATTTCTTGTTTCCATCTTATTTTCTTACCCAAACAAACTATTTCTATACAGAAATATCTCATTCAACAATAAATAACCTTTATTATACAATTTTTGTTTTTTAGTTTTCCATTTTGACCAAGTATCCAAACCAACACATTTTGTACCAATAATAACAGTTCATTATTTAACATCTAATTTACTTCCAATATGTTTTAAAAAAAATGTTTTTATTTTTACATCAGATACATTATGTTCATTTATTTCCTGTATCTTGAATAACCTTTTGTGCTCTGTTTAATGCATAATTGAAAAATATTTTCAAAATCTATTGATGCAGTTCCTATCTTGAAATGAGTAAACAAATGATGATTATTTATAATACAATGCATCATACCAATATAAAAATCTCAATTTACAATTGGCATACAGGTCAGACAATAATAGTATTGTATCATCACTGAACAGCTACACTAACATAAATAGCAGAAATCGGCCATTTTTAGGGAATTGAAACCATTTAAAAGATGCTTTTGAAAAATCAATAACAAATGTCAGAGGAATGCAAAATAGTTTTTTTTCAGAAATCAAGCATGACTTGAAAATTCCATCATAATGGAAGAGTTTTCTGTTTTTGTGAGCAGAGATTGATTATTTTCTCAGTGTTTCTCTCCCAAGTAAATGATGTAACAATCAACACACAACACCTGCTTTCAAGAGCAGATAACTCTTCATTATAAAAAAATGAAATACAATGTAATGCTATATTCAGTATTAAAGTGACATCACAGTAAAATGATTTTTCTTTTCGTTTTTTAAATGATTGTATATATATATCAAGTGTATCAACTTATGAACAATGACAGGTAGTTTTCGCTACAATATGCACATAAAGAGGTTAGTTAAAAATTGTAGAAAGGAAAACCTCATCTTCCACCATCATGTGCTTGCGTCTACAAAATGAACTTGTTTTCAAAATTATCATGTAACATTATCAAAAAATCTGAGATGGGTTTCCTGAATCAAAGAGCTGGCAATTGACAGTAAATATCTGGATAGCATAAAAATGTAACTGGAGGTATATAAAAACATGTAAAACCAATAACAGAATTGATGTTCTTACTGTGATGTCCCTTTAATACTTTAATATTACTTGAGATGGGTTTTTAAAAACTGAATTTTAAAGATTTTTTCTTAATTGCAGCTTAATTGTGTTACCTAATGAAATTTCTATTAACTGACCATAACTTCTCCTAGAGTTTAAGATCTGAATAATGTTTTACGTTTAATATCTTAAGACCTTGATGAGTTCACAGCTGTTTGTGAAATCGAAATTTTTGTAGAAAAAGACTATAAGCTTAGAAATCAAATGCTTCCATATGAAAATAATTTAAACACATCAATTTAAACAAGTCTTAAGAATGCTTTGTGTCTGACAAAAATACAGCCAACAAACATTACTGATAATGACATGACTCAATACATAAGTGAAACATAGCTATAGAATGTTGAAAACTGAAATCACAGATATTACTATACAACCATGATATGTATACTTATTATATAAAAGTGTGTTATTACCGGGAATATATGATCATTAGTTAGTGTTAACCAACAAAGTTAAATACAAGTGATTCGTAAAACCTGCATTTTAAATAAAACTCTGATTATCATCTTAGCTGTTTCCACATTTGACTTTACTTTCTGTTGCAACATTCTGATAAATAATCTTCTCATTCTTGTTTAAATGTGTAACTTAACTACTTGGTGTGTGAACTAAGGAAATCTGATGCTCAAAAAGCACTGTATTCCAAGGAAATGTTTTCATTCTTCACAAGTTAGATATTTTTACCTAGAGTTGAAAACTTTGTTAAGAAATAATTCATTGTTTAATCCTGAAAAAAAGAAGAAGTTAATCTCTGGAAAACACTTCTTGGTAAACAGTATAAAGTGCAAGTAGATAATGAATGTGAGGTTCAATACTGAACATGTAAGACCAGATAAACTGCACGAGTTGAGTAGCGTCATTATGCACCAATACAATACCAATACAAGACTGATATATATACAGATATATGTATATATATACATACTCCTGAAATTATCTTATATTGCACAATTTTTACTGATTATTTCTGTTAAAGTGTTTACTATGTGTATAACCTTTCAAGCTCTACAAAAACTGATATTACAATATTGCTGTGTCAGTGACTCACAAATAAGTAAATATTTTGAGAACATTACCCAAGTAACGCAAATCATTTAGTGAATTTATACATACACGACATCTTTAATAACACTTAATCAAATTTTAACAAGTACTTACTCATTCAGTACTTTGTCAGGTAGATAACAATCTTTTGTTTCTAACTACAATAACATAAAGGAAACTGCACATTATACAAAATGATATGGAAAATTAAATTCTTAAGTAGATATCACGACAAAATGATTTTCATGTATATAATCCCTTTCTTAACATCTGAAGTACATTTGCAGAGGGTGGCAAACTATGTAAAAACTGAGACAATTATGATCAAAACTTCCAACAGATCTTTGTGTAGTTTAAGTACTATTATGCCAATATCAAACTGTCCTGTAAACGATGCAAGGGGGAATAACTAGAATTTACAACATTTATATCACAGCTGTGTCAAGGCCAACAGCGCAATTATATCAACCAATAAAAATATAATTGAAAACTCTAGCAACCAATGAAAATAGAGGTGGATTTTTATAGTTATAAACTACATTTATATTTCAGGGATGGCATTAAAAAACATATAACAAAATAGAGTCCATCAAAGTGAGGCTACACTGAGGTCACCAAGGTTGAAGGTCATTCCAACTGGGAGAGGTCAACAAAGTCTTTGTTAAACATTACACACAGTGAAGCTGTTCCCATAATGACTCAAAAACAATTTTTCAAAAACATGAAATTTGCTGAGGTGAAAAAAAATCCAATGATGATTCCTCTTCAGTTTAAATAACAGATCATTCCACGGAACAAATATTTTATGTAGCAGTAGAAATGCTGTCTAAAATTTGTTGCACAATGTAACCCATTTGTGAAATCATTTGATTAAGCCACAACAAAGAATGAGAATTGTTTTTGAAAGTGTAGGCTACAGATCCTCAGAAAAAGTACTACTCGCTGTCAGAGGGAAATTGACGGAGATTCCCTTCCTGGGAACACAAGTGGTAGTACGACGGAGATTCACACCTTCTGCTCCATGTGTGTCAGAGATGCTGTTACTAGACTTGACCCGAAGACCTGTCAATATGTAAAAAATTATTCATTAAAAGCACTTAATCCAACACAATTAAAACATGCATCATAACATAAGTTGTAATATTTGTTTCAAGAATGTGTATGGCTGTACAGGACTTCATCAAGACAAAAATCTGCACACAAGTGTTAAAAAAAATAACTGACTCTGCCAAAAAATATGAGCGATTACAATGTATTGGAATAACTGTTGACAGGTTCGAAACATAAATATTCAATAATAATTCAATCCTTTTTTTTTTTAAGTAAGAGAGTACCACAGAATCAATTATATATTGCAAAGAACATCTCCACCTTTGAGTGTTTTCAGTAATATAAACAAAAAGTAATGATCAAAACAGATGTTTTGATTAGTGATGAGTTATTTCCCCTGATAGAGCTTTCCTCTTTCATTTTGATGGTGTACATTCTTAATTCCTAGAAACACAGTGTAATAAGACTGTAAAAAGTAAAACACTTGATATCCATATAATTTCAATAAATAAAGTAGATTCCATTAACACCTTTAAAAAAGAAACAGGCATAACCATAGTAATCAAGCAAGACATAAAAAAAAGATGAAACATCACACAACAATCAAGTGTATATCAAGGTCCATAGCACAACAGGACAAACAATATAACCAGTCTAACCAGGGTAGTATAGGACAATAAGGTACATGACAACCAATCACTTGAACCAAATATGTAGGTAATGGCATAAATATCAGACATTCAGTTATAAGCACCAACAGGGCAAATGAAATCATAACCATCAATCATGTACAACAAACAAATGCCATCTAGGTTATACAACAGAGAAAAAAAAAAGAAATGATATTCATTCTTAATAGGAAAGTATGATGAACAAAAGCACACGACAAAAAATATCAATAATACAGGACAACCAGATATGTACAACAGAGTAAAGTACTCGATAACAAAATACATGTATACACAATAGAGTAAAACATGTGACAACTCGATATGTATAACAGTAAAAAAATACTTAACAACCAGATATGTACAACAGAGTAAAGTACTCGACAACCAAATACATGTATACACAATAGAGTAAAACATTGACAACTCGATATGTATAACAGTAAAAAAATACTTAACAACCAGATATGTACAACAGAGTAAAGTACTCGACAACCAAATACATGTATACACAATAGAGTAAAACATTGACAACTCGATATGTATAACAGTAAAAAAATACTTAACAACCAGATATGTACAACAGAGTAAAGTACTCGATAACAAAATACATGTATACACAATAGAGTAAAACATGTGACAACTCGATATGTACAACAGTAAAAAAATACTTAACAACCAGATATGTACAACAGAGTAAAGTACTCGACAACCAAATACATGTATACACAATAGAGTAAAACATTGACAACTCGATATGTATAACAGTAAAAAAATACTTAACAACCAGATATGTACAACAGAGTAAAGTACTCGACAACCAAATGTACAACACAGTAAAACATGGGAAAACTAGATATGTATAATAGTAAAAATATAGATGATAACCAGATAAACAGATTAAAATACTTGACAACCAGACACATGTATCTACAATGGAGTAAAATACTTGACAACCAGATACCTGTATCTACAATGGAGTAAAATACTTGACAACCAGATACCTGTACCTACAATGGACTAAAATTCTTGACAACCAGATACCTGTACCTATAATGGAGTAAAATACTTTACAACCAGATACATGTATCTACAATGGAGTAAAATACTTAACAACCAGATACCTGTATCTATAATGGAGCTAAATACTTGACAACCAAATACCTGTATCTACAATGGACTAAAATTCTTGACAACCAGATACATGTATTTACAATGGAGTTAAATACATGACAACCAGATACCTGTATCTACAATGGAGTAAAATACTTGACAACTAGATACCTGTACCTATAATGGAGTTAAATACTTGACAACCAGATACATGTATCTACAATGGAGTTAAATACTTGACAACCAGATACATGTATCTACAATGGAGTTAAATACTTGACAACCAGATACATGTATCTACAATGGAGTTAAATACTTGACAACCAGATACCTGTATCTACAATGGAGTAAAATACTTGACAACCAGATACCTGTATCTACAATGGAGTAAAATACTTGACAACCAGATACCTGTATCTACAATGGAGTAAAATACTTGACAACCAGATACCTGTATCTACAATGGAGTAAAATACTTGACAACCAGATACATGTATCTACAATGGAGTAAAATACTTGACAACAAGATACCTGTATGTACAATAAATTAAAAATGTGAAAACCAGATTGTATAATGGGTTTACTTAGGCGATAACAAGATATGTACCATGTGTTAATATATGTTAAAGATATGTAGAACAGATTAAAACTAAACCAGATATATACAACACACAACAATGTGATTCATGCCATATTCAGCAATACAATAACCAGGGTATGAGATGTGGTATAGAAAACATAGCAAAGTTTTGACATTATATTTCAGTGTTATTATCACACTGTTTGATAGATTGATACAAAGTTACATTTTGTTTTGATGACAGAATTCAGGAGAATGGTCATTCCTTTTAAACTACAATGGCAATCACGTATGATCACATGCATATGGAACATGATAAAAGTCTTGCTAAATCAAGTTCATGTATCTGTTAAAGATATATACTGTAGAAAACATCGTAACAGTAAAAGTCAGTTTTAAAACATTCAAAAATATTCTTGTAAAAATAAAAGTACATATACTGAAGTAAAACTCAAAATTATCATCTGAAGATGTAAGTAAACAAAAAAATGTAAATTATGTTTTGTGATAACTTTTAATAGCATTCACATGAAAACTCATGTATAAATAAAACAAGTGATAAAAATTTCACAGTAAAAATACTAGAATAAAACTCTCACCAACATTTCTTTCAATCAAAAATAAAAATCAAACAAAAACTGCCAACAAAGGAAAAATTGGGTTCTGTATCTAGCCGCAACAAAACAATTCAAAAAGAAAGTCAAAACAAAGCCATGATGTGTGTTGAGTTACCTCCCATGAAGATCAGAGCGACATTATGCTGCACTCCATCAGATTTGCGTACATTGGATTGCTGGTTAGACAGAGTGAACCTACAGGTACCAACAACATCTCTCACGTAATATGTACCAGGCCCTCAGATACATATGCCTTTGTGTTTTTAGTTCCTATTACCACTTTTAACATTGAAACTTCATTGATACATATGTCCATCAGAAATGTTCCAATATTTTTTACTTGTAAAGAATTCATAATAAATTTTTCATGTTTATCTTCTCATTTTTCAAAAAAAACTGACCTTCACATAAATATAGAAGAAAATCATTAAAGAAATTAAAATTTCTGCCATATCATCCATGGAAAATTGATACCAGAACCAAACAACCTCTTAATTATAAATCAAAATTTTCAGGAAAAACAAAAAACTCTCCTCAAATTACATATAGTATACAATCCGGAAAATAAAAAAAAACTCTTACAACAGCATGTATCATTATCTTAACATACTATCACACCATCATCATTATCATATAAATAGTTTTATAGCTGATAATAGCTAAATGATGTATTGTACATTACTTACTACTGGACTTGTTGCGTTGGAATTTCTTCGTTTTCGCTCTTCGGGCTAACGTTTTTCTGGCATGTATCGTGTTTTTCACAATTAGAGGTTTGTCTGAGTCTATTTTGGCCTCATTTGCTAGATCCTCAAAAAACCCTACAACATAAGTAACATGAAGAATCACAAACATTATTCTGTATGATTTGAAATTGTTAACAACATCACATATAATAGTTCCTACGAATGTTTCACTAAAACACATTCAGTTTAAAGGAAATAAAGTGCTTATCATTTTATTTTTTTTAACAAGTTAATCTGCAGAGCAGAGGGAACTGTACCATACTGTCGACTCTTTAAGTAACTTACTAAAAACCTTGAATCTAAGTAATTTGACCTATAAAGTGTAAAACATTTAAAAATCTGAAAAAAAACATATAGAATACATAGAATAATTGATAGACACTCATAAGACCATCTATGCCAAAAACCCAACACTGTAGCGTAGCATTGTGTGAACTGTAGAACCTAGGATTTGCCTAAAAACAAGCAGATGAACAGATAGCATACACAGAAAAATTTGAATGGGTGAGTAAATATAATGGTTGTGTTTTGTATATATCACAAAATAACACACATGAAATAAAAGATTTTCATATTTTGAATTCTATTTGCATATGAAGTAATTCTCAGAAGAAATATATTTCCACTTGTCTAAATTCGTGAATGTCAAGTGCTGAATCTAAGATTATGATCATGAAAAGAATCTTTACAGCAGGTGTCTTGCTGTTACTATTACGTTTGAGTTTGTTGACGTTGACCACCATCTCTTCCTTGACATCCTGTTCTATGTGTGGAGTTTGAGATACCACAGCACACGACAGTTTCTGTAACGAGTTGTCTGCGTCTTTCAGCTTCCTCTCCGCATCTAGTCTAGCCATAACCTCCTCCTGTCACCAGTTAAAAACATGTGAAAAATCAAACACTGACTCATCAACATTTCAGGTCAAATACTGACCAATCAACAAGATGCAAAACACTATCCCATCGACATGTCAAGGTCAAACAATGAACACAATTAACATTCAAAGGTAAAAAATTGATGATATTTCAATAACTTTAAACGATAAAGTGAATATTTTGAAACTGAAATCAAATTTAAGAGTTCAAATTAAAAACTTCCAAGTGGGGGAAAAAATCATGAATTTCCAAATTTTAGGTAATTTTATGATTTAAAGTGTGAAGAAAAATGTTTACAAACCCATATCAGTAAAAGAAACCAAACTAACCTTTAATTCTGCTTCAGTCATTTCCTTCTGTACCTTAAGATCCTGTGATTATAACAAAATTTATGATGGTTGCAATTTCATTTCAAGAAAACAAAGATGCATAGCAAAAATGAAATCAATATTCACTGTAAGTTACAAGACCAATGCACTAACAATGCAATAGATCTGCTCACAGTAACTTTATTCTATATTGACATAAAATATCAAATTTCCCAAAGTGGGTTTTTTAGTATGCTAATCACACTGTTTTAAGATTTTAGTTAAGGAACTAATGAATAGTCAGTAATATTGCCGGAGATTTAATTGCATACAAATTGAAACAAATTCTACAAACTACAAGGAATATTTGCACAATATTCACAGAGTTGGATTTACCTTCAGGGATTCTTTAAGCTCCTCCGCATGTCCACTTATAAATTCTTTTTCTTCTTCCAGTGCCCGAGCTCTTGACTCATTCTCCTTCATTCTATAGATACATAAAGCAAAACCATTATGGGTCATCTTTCCTTACAATGTACATTGAAAATGGTCTCTTTACCAATTGGATTGACAAAAGTTAAAAAAAACATAAAAACAATCAAGATAAACATTTATAGGGCTTCAAAGATAAAAATAAGCTAAACAATGGCTGAACTACAAGTATACAATGTATATCTATTCAAACAAAAAATCCAGGACTTTTATTGATGTACTCCTGAAAATCTTAAAAAGGAGGCACCGATATCACATCCACGTATCAAAATTTTCAGCTGACATACTTACTTTTCTTCAGCCTGGGATTTCTCACGAAGCAGTTCCTTGGTCTGGTATTCAATGAGTTTGAGGGTAGACTGTAGTTCCTCCTTCGTGAGGGCTAAACTCTGATTCTCCTCTGTCAGCTTCTGTTGCGAGCTCTGCTGGTCATGTAATGTTTCCAAAATTCTCTCCTTCTCCTCACTTAAACTCTGAAACAACAATAAAAAAAACAAATACAAAACCACTCATTTTCATATTTATTCTCCTAACATAAACATTGAAACAACAGGAAAACAAAACTCTAACTTTGACATGCAATTTAATCAGTAAAATGTATGATGATCTTTAAGAACATAGCAATATGAAAATTTTCGGCAATAGATACGTTTTTCATAAACATGAAAGGTTTTTTTTCCAAAATAATAATTGCCATGACCATTTTTCATTTTAATCACTTCAGATCATCAGCTAAAAAAATTGATTCGTTCGTATTCCTCTGTCATCTCCTGCTGATACAGCTCCAACTTCTGTTTCTCCTTCTCCAGCTCCTGATTAATTCTTCCTAGCTCCTATTACAAGAAAAACATACTCTCCGTATTAATAATATCTCAATTCTATTTATCTCAAATGGTCATGCTGATACAGTTAATATACTTGTGATAAAATAACCACACTTACCTTCTGATTCGTTCATATTATGTGAGGATCTTGTCTTATATCACCTACAGATGCATCATCCAATGTTGCTTGCCTTTTGCTTGAAGTTTTCATATGTTTATTTTCTTCAGAACAGATCTTACAAGGAGCAAATTAGATATCAGTAAATGTACACATAGTAATATGATGAAATAAGTAAATATTTACCTCAGTTTTTTCTCTTTCATCAGACAGAGCTAACACTTCACTCTGGAGCTGATCTGAAACAAATACATTTTTACATTACAGATTTATGAACAATTGAGTTAATACAGATATGTATACATATCACTATTTATGCATTAAGTCTTTTCTTATTTATCATATCATTCCGGATGAATTCCAGACCAGTTGATCTTGCAAGTACAATGGACAAATATTTTTTTATTACTGGGTCTTAATTTTAATCCCAGATTATAAATCAAGTCTAATTTCTGAAGTTGTTACAGAATGTACTGCATGAGATCTTTCAGACATTTCCAGCTCCCACAAGTTTGTATCAACCAAAGTGTTTTAGAAAGGTAAAGAACAGAAGGGAAAGCATTCACTTAATTTTCAGTAGAAATGTAACTACCAAAGTAGTCCTGCTTCTGTTTTGCCATCTGTAAGCCCTGATCCTCCAACTGTCGAATGAGGTTGTCTGCTAACTGAGCATGTTTCCAAGTTCTATTTAAAAACATATGTAAATGTATTGTTTATGGTGTGGACAATATTATACCCAGCAACAGACTTGTAATCAAAGTTAAGAATATTAAAATGACAAGATATATTTGAAAAACATAAATAAAGTCTATTTCAACTTTGATGTAAATTGAGCGATTCACAAAGCTAAATTGGGGCTGTATCCATAAAAAATAACAATATTCCAGTGTAAATTTTGATGACCGACAGAAATCTGACATCTTTAAAAGTCACATGCTTCTTCAGAAAGTTATTTTATTACATGCTAACGCTTAATAACATGGACCAGGTGATAGCCAAATCACTTACATCCTTTTTGACTTTTCCAGCATGTCAATCCATTTGTCTCTTTCAAAACTGCTGTCAGCAGCCAAAAGCATTCTTCCCTGTGTTAATGACATACACATATAAACTAACCCCATCATTAGAGAGAGATATTTGTTAAGAGTAAACATGCATGTATTTTCACCTCCGTTTTAGAGACAGCTATCAAGTTGAAAATTTACAGGAATTCTTAATAATCCAAGCAACAGAGAAACATTTATATTAAACTGAAACTTAATCAAATTTATAACTAACTTAGGTACACAGAACAACTGGCTCAAAAACTTGAAGTCCAGTAAAACCATTTTTGATTGGATAAATCTCAAACATACGGTTGGACGTATCAAGCATATCTCATATCAATAAAATGATAGGAAATAAACATGTGACATACATTCAAATGTCACATGCTGTTTTTCCCAAAAGCAGAAAGCAAATATTTTAAATTACATAAGAAGAAACTTCACAATATTCATCAAAATCTTATCCGTGATGATCTAGATTACAACATAAAAACACTTGTGCAAAAACATAAGTAAACTGTACCTAGTAGGACCTTAAAAGGACAAATAGGGTTCACTGAAACATGAACTCCCTTTAAAGTGGAAATAGCTTTACAGGAAGAAAAAAAAAACAGTGACAGAAAAATTTCCCTGAACATTTTCATCCAAGTAGGATGTTTGTGACTTGGGATGACTGCGTTAGTTACCAGATTATTGAAACAGGTTAGTGAGAAATAACGGTTTGTACGGCAATATAATGTACTGATATTAATATTCTCATGGGAGATTATTTTACTATATTCATGGTCACTGAAGACAGCATTCAAATAAATACCCAACAAACATTTCTACAACGAATACAAATCTCGGGAAATGTATGATATATGTCGATACGTAGAAACCAATGTATAGACATATACAATTTTATACCTCTGATCTAACAACTCAGACTAGAACAGCCACAAATATTAGCCCTCCAAAATTAAAGAAACATACAGTATTTGTAGTTCAGAGAGTTTCGAAACAATGTAAATATTATGTAATTATAAATAATACATATATATATGATCTAGTAAGAAATATCAACGGTATGACTCAATATTGGTACTGGATCTTCTATATATAGATTCTAGTAAGTAATATCGACGGTATGACTCAATATTGGTACTGGATCTTCTATATATAGATTCTAGTAAGTAATATCAACGGTATGACTCAATATTGGTACTGGATCTTCTATATATAAATTCTAGTAAGTAATATCAACGGTATGACTCAATATTGGTACTGGATCTTCTATATATAAATTCTAGTAAGTAATATCAACGGTATGACTCAATATTGGTACTGGATCTTCTATATATAGATTCTAGTAATTAATATCAACGGTATGACTCAATATTGGTACTGGATCTTCTATATATAAATTCTAGTAAGTAATATCAACGGTATGACTCAATATTGGTACTGGATCTTCTATATATAGATTCTAGTAAGTAATATCGACGGTATGGCTCAATATTGGTACTGGATCTTCTATATATAGATTCTAGTAAGTAATATCGACGGTATGGCTCAATATTGGTACTGAATCTTAACAAACAAATGTTCACTGGATGTATATTACTGGAATAGATACATGATCAATTAAGTAATAATGGCTGTACAGACAAGTGAATTTGAAAATTCCGTTGTCAGAATTGTCATTATAACTTCATTGATTATATATATATATAATTACATAATTCCACAACCTATGCTGTGATCTGAATTTTTTACAGCTTATAATTGCAAGCAATTAACTGTACATTTTGAAAAATTGAAAAACGATGATCTATTTACATGAATATCTGCACTGTCCAGATAGAATGCAAAAGGCTGTCCTTGTTCCCTTGATGGAGTAATACTGCATTCTCCTAAAGGTATCATTCCCTGAAATTACATACATAATTCACAGATATCATTACAACATTGCCTGACAAATCCTATACACTTTGTAATCATATTGCATTTACATACCAGGTGCATATATAACATATTGTTCTCATCACCGCTGCCCTGTAGTGTTTATACATGCTTCATTTACAATATCATAATTTAAATCTGATTTTGGAGAAAAAAATTTCTAGAGGCAAATATTTATTGTAATAGATGCATGACCTGAGTCATAAGAATGAACCTTTTGGATATAGTCATGCTAAATATATATTTACTGTTTTGAATATTAGTCAGCCTGCTCTTCCTCATGCATGTTTTGACAGGACTGGTTGGTATAATTGAAATATTGGTAAATTGCAATATGGTAAGGTCAATACAAGATATCGATATGTATGATGACATATAGATATACAGCATCTACCATTTTATTGTCTGTTTACATAGTTAAAATTACGGGCAAAATGCTGACATTCTTGCTGAAAATTACTTCTTTGTTTAGACATCTCTGTCATCTGACTTACATTTAGGATTCCTTTATAGTATCTGCGAATGTTTTTTTTCCAATTATACATATGTATTCTGATATGAATGTTTCTATCGGTACATACCTTGGGATGAATGTTGATACAAGACCGCTTTTCCATTTCTTTCTTTTCACTCTCCTGATAGTAAAATAGAAATCCATCTCGTATAATGAAATATCTGAAACATACAACAGACATTCATTTTAAATGTATGATACCCTTGCACATCCAATAAAGTATAGAGTTATATTCAAGTGATATCTAATATCAATATAAATGTTAAATGGAAATGACAAAGTTCATAAAGAATGCTGGTATAAACCCCATGACGGTGGATGATGGCAGATCTCCATGACAATTATCTTACTTGGTCTAACAGAAATTCTGATAGCTTTTAGAAAATTAAATAAAAAGAGAGAAAACTGTCATGATCTATTTCTGCAAAAGTTTTGCTTGGTTTAAATCAATTTTAATGCAGCATTGCTATACAGATTCCATGAGCCCCAACTGGGTATGTGTTAGAGAGTGTCAAACACCTCAATGCTCAAAAGCTTCTCATCAGTTCCAAGCAGGTACATGCCTCTGAATTTCAAACACCTCAATCTTAAAAAGCTGCCAAAGGGCCCTTACTAGGTCAAGCATGTTGATATATAGCGATACTCTGACCTGAGAAATATTTATACTTGTATCATAATATTTCTAAACCAATATAACACAGGTTGACATTCTTAGCTACCTGCAGGTATGTTACTTCAATCAGTCATTTTTAGATAACTTCATAGAAAGCTCACCAAAACATCATTGTCAACAATTCCACCCACTGGAGGGTCACACTGTGTATTAGAGAAGATAAGACTATCCTGAAGGTCATTTGACTCTAATCATTTCCTGTTGGCTAGCTGGGTTTTTATCTTTCATCCATTGCCATCAAAATATTTCTTCACCAAATATATCCCACATAGCTTACAAATATGACTCTTCACCATTATGTTTGATACACATGATACAGGCTAAAATTTTTCCTCTTTACTATTTTATCACACATAGCATTAAAAAAAGTTGTTTTATCATTACTGTAAACATGATTAATTGGGTGCCATCAAATTTTAGTGCACTATCATTGTTTGGCGAATTTGCAAGATGATAAATAATGCATTCATATTGTTTGTTATATAAACAGCATACAGAAAATGTAATTAGTGCAATTATCTTCTATCTCAATATATTCAGCATGAACAGCATTAGGGAAAGAACAGTGGTTAAATATATCTACAGCATATCACATGTACACATAGCTTGCAATCATTATGATGATGATGCAAATGATATGCCGCAAAAAAAAACATGTGTTCATCATTACATTACAGTCCTTTCACACTTACAGTATAATACACCTATCACCACAGTAAAAATGATGCTCATTCACCATTATTGTACATCCTAAACACTGTAATGCTGTATCGAGATCATGATTCAGTATTTCTTTCTAATATAGTATGTATATGCTGTTTCACTTTTCTCTTTCCTTTTTCTCAAACATTTACAGCATTATATTACAAGTCTAATTTTCCTGCTCTATCAATATTTTAAATTTTAAATTTTTAAATACTACCAGCTAAATCTGCAGTATAACACAATTAACATTAATGATAGATTTACAATCCTTGATTTACTTATAAACAAGCTCAATGAAGTAATATATAGAACAGCAATGACAGCTGTAAGCTCAGTCAGGAGATGTATAACAGTTACTTACATTTATGTTTCAAATGCTCAAGTAAACATTCTATTGAAAACTTTGAATGCTGGAACAATTAAAAGCTATGCCTAGTTGTCATGTTTTTTCTACCTGCAAATTATAAATTACAATATCAATTATTCTGGTATCTTTTTAATTTTCTTTTAGAATAAAACATAATATGGTCATTAATTTGAATGTAATAAATTACTAAAAATATTTATAACCAGGTGAATATTTTGAAAAGTTCAAAAGCATTCACTTGACATAATTTTAGAAAATAATGATAATGATAGGGTAATATCTTTTTTTATGATATCAGATTAAAATATCTGGCATCAAAATACATATTTGTTTTCAAAGGTTAAATATAACAGGTAGCTTTTGGAAGGTACACATATATAATGAGCAGTGTATACCTAACATGACTGTAACCCTTGCGTAAACCTACTTAAGATTATTTTGATTAAACAAGGAAACCTATTCCAATTTATGTGTAAATTTTCTCTCCAGGAAGAAACTAATGTTGATAAGCTGTAACAGTAGGTGCAATTCACTTCCTTTACTGTGTCTACACAAGTGTTGTGTTGACAGCTGACGTACTACAGATAATTTCCTGACCTGAGGAAGGATATAGACATAATCTAGAGATAAATCAATCTTCATACATTTCCCAGATACAAACCCTCTTTAGTCTCCCTCATGAAATCCATACTATAATTCTTATCAAAGGGATGAAACCTTCCTTGAAGTGATTATTTTTTCAATATTAAATGCTTATCAACACTGGCAATATGCCAAGTGGAGCAAATTAAGAATATACTTTGAATAGATATTGTATCTAAATATAAAGTACAACCAATATCTAATTCCATAATATCTTGGTACCCCACTCTAGTGTAGATCTATATGTCCTAATTCAAACTGACAAACAATTTTAACATGTTCTTCAAAATACTTTATACATACCTGGTAACACATATGCTTGTCTATGGTCAATTTCATAACAAGATAACTCACTACCTGTTCTATATTTGTAATATTACAATTAAGGATTGAAAAACACAGATCTAGAAGTTGAAATGTTCTGCAATTACTTTCTTCACCAATGGCAATGAATCAATCTGAGAAAAGTAAGTATATGTCTGTTACTTTTGCTTTACTAGTTTTATGTAACTTTGATATGAAGTAGAGCACACTCAAATAATATATATAAAAGATCTTGTCTAGAGCACATGTTATACATCTCTTAAAACTCTTCAAATCAAGAGGCCAGGGATATATTGAACGAATCTTTCAAAAGTTCAACAATACAAATATCCCTGTTATCATCAGTTACCAGTTGGAACTAAATTTAGAAATAAGATATCCAAGCTATTTTTTTTTATAAGGACTAGACCATATGCTTATTAGAAAAAGAGAAAGACAGGTATGTTTACCAGTAACACAGGTAAGGCCAGAGACCTTATAATTTATGAGCTTTGATTTAAAGACTTATCTCTGGTTGTACAAATATATACACAAGCTTACTAAACTGCACATATAAAATGTACTTGTAACACTTATCCAAATACTTCACAATATTTCTGATTCAATGCAACATGTGTATGGAAAAATATTATATCATATTGTAAATCAATATACGATAAAACACATTCTTGACATACTAAAGATTCAACTGTCATACTACTTTAATTGGTGACTTATTGATTAGAAGCTCGATATATGCGTATGTATACAGGTCAATGTACTCAGAGCATCACTATGTTTCAGCAGCCGTAACAGACTGACAAAGGCGCCAGGCATCAGTATCTAAGCAATCAAGGTCTATTGTGAACAATCGGCTGATCTAATTAAGTACAATTCAAAGTTTTCAGTGTATTCAGTGATTTCAAAAATACCCGGAAGTCACATCGGTCCATATATCACTTCTATAAAATGATCATTTAAACACAAAAATACGGAAATAAATTACCTTTTCGCCCACTTGTTTGACTGATGGTTGAAAGGTCTTTTATACAATATCCCGGCCAGCTGGACTTTCGACGCCCATTCGCCTGACCGAGAATTTCTTTCCGGCATACTGTTCATGTCGGGTGCCTCATAACTGTAGTGCTGTCGTGAATGGGATACACAACACACAGAGCCCAAACAATCCATCGGCTGACACCTCCACCGCGACCACTGAACTTCCGTGTGACAATTTACTTCGATCTTTCTCGGACTTTATTATTACATACCATGCACTGTCACGAAGCATTCCGATAGACATACACAATTGGCGCTCTCATTTAAACAGGTGCCAGCTGTGGATAAGGTTTATAAGTGCAATGTGAAACTTAATTCGACCTCTATAAGGCACCAAACAGATATAAGCGCATGTAAGTGGTGTAAGCATATTAAAACAAAATGTTTTTTTTTCATTCAAATGTTAGACAAAAAGCCTTTTATGTAAACAAAGACACAGGCATTTATCCTATAAAGCCAGGGACATGTTTGTCCCCTTAAGTGGATACGTATCTTCCTAAAGCACTCGTTCTGAAAATCAAAATTCATTATTACTTACTATTATATAATACATTTATCACTTTCGCTCTCAGCACCCATCGTATATGTCATAGCAAATTTGAAGGTTCCTTGTACGGCACCTTGTGGACAACAAACGAATCTCATCGTCGCATAAGGTATATTGTAATGGCTCTGAAGATGGGTGTCGCTCTTTTGTAATCTTCAAAAGAAGCGTATTAGTCTGTAATTATTCAGGATTTTTTTCTCTCGGAACTAATCAAATTACTTTGCTTGTGCCTTCAATTTTGTCATGACATGTTCCAGGGTAGGGTGACTGACAGCAGACAAGCGAGATTTCCGAATATTAAATCCAGACGTTTTCAAACACAAATGTAAAGAAAACATGTGCTTTTCGGTTTTTAATTAAACATATTTTATTGCACATAAGTGGCAATATGATTGGACACAATTTTTTTCAACTTATATAAAGCCCTTTTCAAACATATTAATACACATACATTATATTTACAAGTTAACAATTATAGACAAGTTAAGTTAGTAAGGGAGAGAGAGAGAGAGAGAGAGAGAGAGAGAGAGAGAGAGAGAGAGAGAGAGAGGTGTATAACACGAACTTTGTATGTTTAGAATACTTTGTATATATGTAGATCATGCATCTGCTCCTTCTCCATGCAAGCAAAACAGGTGGACACTGTCCACATGCCTAAACTCACAACTTGTCAATGTTCGTCACTTCTCGTGCTTTCACGTTTTTGATAAACCTAAACAAGTCTTGCTTATAGAATGATATTCTTTTAAAAAACATTTGTAACGTTTGAAAACTTCGATGCATTCATTCATTCATTTTTTCCGTGAGCCATCCGACTCATAGGTTAAATAACAAACATAATTACATAATGTGGTACAAATATGAAAGAATGTTATACAAATTAGGTTAAATGGAGCGTAAGCTTACAATGATACTGTAGTGTACAATTAGTTCTATCAATCACTAAATTCTATGCGTTTCCTTGAGGCACAATATAAATATTTCCCTAAATTACATATTTTTTTTACATTATTGGTGCTCACTAATATCGTTAACTTAAAAACATTTGGACTTCTGTGATAGAATTGTTTGATATATTTACGTCTCAGATTTTGGTAAAAAGGACATTTTAGGATAAAGTGAAATTCGTCCTCTACATCACCAGAGGTATAACGAGTACATGATCTATTTTGACGAAAAACATTATTCCGTCTACCGACTTCAATATTTAAATTATGTGACGACAATCTGAAACAAGTAATAAGATGTTTGTACTTTGTCTCTATAGATTTACATGAATAAAATTAAAGACAAAAATTATCAACAAGGTGCAGATACATAAAAACCCTTAAGTGACCTTGATATATTTGCTAACATGTTCGGTCTACAATTGTCAAAAATTCGTTGTTCTATAATTTTAAAACCAACATCAACAGGTAAATTGTTTTCAAACATATATTCCAACCCAAGACTAGATAATTTCTGTTTGATGCATTCTGGCCGGCGGTTACCATAAGAAAATATTGTTATAAAAATAGGTTATCGGTCGTGCTATTCTCCTGACTTTTGTCCCTGTGATTCAAACATTTTATATTATGCAACGGTAAATTTCTCAATGATAACACTGCTTCGCTCTGATCCTTTCGAACTCTCTGGCTTTCGGCATAGGTCTACTTGATTATCACAAGATAATAAAATATTTTATCATGTCCAGATCATGGCATATCTAATCTTCCGGTTTTGGGACCTTCGGGATATATAGACTTTTCGGAATAGTTTGATAGACAATCACCTCCACCGGTCTGATAACTTGCTTAATTGTTCGAATTTTGATCTTTACTTCACAGCTGAGATGTATTGTATAAGGATTGGGTGTCATTGGCTCCACATACAAGGCGATGCCGACTTGGTTCGATCGTGCTGACTGACCTACTCCACGATATTAATAATTTAACTGCATGCGCCGTAGAAAAATGTCAAAATCATCAGTACATACATGACAAATCATCCCGTATACTTTTCTGTACTTTGAGCATAGATGCAAGTTACAATACTAATGTGTTTATAAGGAGTCGAAATCTAATTCAGTCAAATATTCTGAAGACGGGCAAGTTTGGGTAATTTTCATACATTTTGCATCATATCTGCCCAGACTCGTGCCTGGATATTCTATTGAGATAAAGCTCAATTTGTTAATGATTCGATATGCAAATGTTTGTTTCCGATATCACGACTTCCGCGAAAAAATCTATATCAGACAGATACAACACATGGTTATGAGAGATGTAGGTATATGGGTACCAGTTGAGGAAGTTAATGGTTGTCAGTGGTTGGAAAATATTCCATTACCTTGTACATTGGTATCGTGCTTTCGTAGCTGTTTACATCGTTATTTTACAAGAACGTGACAGGACATGACACGGAATTATATACTACGGATGTCGCCGTTCAAGCGAAAGACGCTTAACCTTCCGTAACAGTGGTCTTATTCTCTTTGAACCTTTTGTTAATTTGAGTTCGAATTAATATTCTGTTGAAATGTCGACAATTTTGATACAAGAACAATAATATACGGTCAAAAAACATACACAACACCAATACCTGTAATCTCAAAATCTAGAATCTCACACATTTATACTTAATACGCAATCATACAAACCAACCAAACACCACACAAGACCCACCGCCCCCACCTTATCTCACACCCTGTATAAATAGTACTTTTACTTGAACAAAATGGCGACGGAGACGATAAACCGTCAGCATCAAACAAAATCATATCATGATATATAGGTTAGAGTAGACAACTTGATTCCTTTCTATCTATAAACAAGATGCAACCAGTTAGAATTACCGCATTACTCCTGCTTTACACATGGCCTAAAACATACTCCAACCATTGTGCATGTGCAAGGAATCTCCATTTTCAAAAACTTAAATATATCATAGATACTCTCAGCATATCATAACTTTCTACGTCAACGTAAACTTATCTCGCCGAAACCTCTCATAACCTTCCTAAATCGGCACATTCACACAAATCACATACATTGTATATACTTATAAAAAGTCAGAACAGTGAACAGATATATGAAGAAGGAATGGAGTGAAATCACAGAAAGCAATAGACACTGGCAAAGTAATAAGTAAATATGATTGGAAATATTTCAAGAAGGGACAAAAATGTGTAAACTGTAAGTACACCTTAGGGATGTACTTTCAACGGTGGCCCGTGTGAGGACTTGTTCGATCTCGCACGCTAAAAATCACTCTTTGGAAAAAGAGTAGGCTTGATAACGATGGTCCAGCCTGGGTCCAATTATCTTTAAGGCATTGGACGGACTTCAAAATTACCCTAACATAAACCGAATCTAGCGACAGGCCCCAACTTTCTTTCAGCTTCTGGGCATGTTTCAACCGTTAGAGTTCGGTTAAGACACTATTAGGCCCTGGAGCTTTCAACAAAAACGAGTAGGTTCCACATTACTCAGGTGGAAGCAGGTCGCCCATCAGGTCGCCAAAACACTGCAAGAAATCACAAGGCCAAGAAATCAGGATAGAATAATTTTTTCTTCATAGGATGGATAGTTATAACGTTGTGAGGGAGTACATTGTATTCCTTACTTGCATTCGGAAACATTTCGCATCAGTAGCCAACATTTTCCCTCTTACTCCCGGTCTTACAAAGGAGTACAACAATTTGTTGTTATATGATGAAGCACAATTAAAAGTATATGTACATGAGATAATAATATGACAGGCGGGAGCAATAGCAATTGTACGCTATAGTTCTGCAAATGAGGTTAGTTACGTCCGCTGGAAATCTAGCGCTAAAAAACACTTCCTCACGTGACTAAAACTCTATCACATGACAAAAACATGGCGCTCTCCTGTAGGCAGATTTTGTTGATGATAGGTATGCTTGTGACAGGAAGTATCAATACGCTGAGTAAGAAAGCACAGAACGACTGTAGGTAAGTAACAGTTTGTCAAGAATGTAAACAACTTGTTTCGTTTCGCTTTCCAACCGGAAACTGACAGATACCGAACAGTCAGTGACCGAGATGTGGATAAGAAAGTCTTGGATAGCTAAAACCACGGTCTAAGGTCTATGCATATAAAGGGCACGTGTTTTGCGTGTATGTGCTTATATATTGTTTCTGTATTACTACGGATAGGCGAGACATGGGAATCCTGTAGAGCACTGGGATCATTTTCAGTAATTATCAGTACTTGTCAAAAAAGATGTTGCGTTGCCATTCTGTGTAAAATCATAATAATAAAAAAAATGGAGGAGTCATTTTCAGTTTTGAGTGACCCAGTGTCCCTTTGACAGTCAGACTCCTCCGGGATTATCCCTGTTAGGTAAATATGTCTCAACATTCTGAACATTACAACTGGACTTTGTTTACTGAAGGATCAATATGTCACATGTGATCTGCAAGGAATAATCTCCAAACAGCAGCAAAAAGACCAGGTGTGAAAATAGATTCGGACCTCTCATTGATGACCACATGAGCGAGAAAATTAAAAAGGCTAATTCTACGTTTGCACTCCTAAGAAGAACTTGCCATTTTATGAACACAAAGTCTTTTGTTCCTCTATATAAATGCTTTGTTCTATCACAACTAAAATGTGTATGCCAGTTAAATTTGGTCTCCATATTGATGTAAACATATAGACATGATAGAGGTAGTTCAATGCAGAGTAACAAAATGCTTTCCAGCATGAAAAATCTGAATTACAGGAAAAGACTGGAACTTCCAACATTGACTTTTTAACTAGTTAGGGGAGTTATATAAGAAAAATAAGGTATAATAATGAATAAGATATTAAATAAAGTATACAACAAGGAATGCTGCAATGTTGTCGAACTATGGGAGGTAATATCTGAAAAACACAGCAGGAGAGGTAACTTCAACTATGTTCCATGGCAAGATATGGATGTGAAGAGTGTGATGTGATGTTAGTGCAAAGTATATGATGATTGTGGCATTCTACTGAAAAGCAGTATAACTACAGTAGTAATCTATTTAGCTAAGTCTCAGATACATAATAGTGAGATAAAGGTGTATTGCTGATGCTGGGCAGATGAGATATTCATGTGACCCTGGTGAAATACTAGCTGCAATATACTGCTCGGCTGGAGAGATCTTCTCTTTATCCACTGTTACTTATTTTTGATACATGTACACATTTATTATTACATAAAATAAGTGAGTTGTGTAATCAGAAAAATGTTTCATAGTTTTACATGTAAAAGCAAATATTCTTATTGATGCAATTGACCATCCACATCTCCTTTTGTAATCTCAACCGCAGGTTAGTGTTTTGTTTGTAGTTACCATGACCTGTTGGAGTGTCATGATACCATGTGCAAGTTACAATATTCAAGTGTGACAACACTATAAAAGTGTCCTTGAGTTGACAAGATTACCCATTATCTGTGGACACTATCTCCATTAAACCTAAAAAGATATGAGGACATATACTAACAAACAAAATGTTTCATTATACCCCTACTTAGGAAAGGGGGGATAATTGATTAATCACTACACGGTATGTCCATGCCTAAGTGCGAGCGCATCTGCGATAATCTTGTGTACAAGATAACCCATGAAGCGTTGTATAGATTTGGTTCATATTCACACCATAGCACCGATCATACCACCAAGGTCTACACCTGATTAGGTTTGTTAGTCACTGGTCTAAGTCGAGGTTACAGGTCAAAGGTCACCATTGACCACTTTACAAGTAAAACATTTGTTTTCATATTCAGTTAACAAACTAATGAGAAAACAATTTCTGTTTTAGAGCATCAGGATATCCAGCCAACAATGCTAATGGTACATCATCGCCTCATGAGTTTAACCATCCATGGTTCCAGACTCTCATCATGTTTATTGGTAAGAAGATTAAATTCCATGTCCCTTTAAGTGGTAATGATGGATAGATGTCTGTTATGTATGTAATTGACACTATAATAAATATTTTCAAGACAATTTTTCTGATATACTTTGCTTAGATTTGGTCCTTAATTCCTTTCCGGACACCAAAACAAATAAAAATCTGCAATAATATAATTTTGCAGTAAGTGTCCTTTCTTTGATACATGAGTGTGTAAAATCAATAAAAAATATTGATGACTAGAAAGATGTTCATAGTAGACTTTGGAACTATTATGAAATAGACCATTTCCTTGACTACTCGTAACTTTTTTTTCATATAAAAGAAAATAAAATTGATATCATCAGCTCCTTGAACCATTTTGTTTTATATCTGATAATGTATTAGTTCATTTTCTTTTTTTCGAATTAGGGGAGACAATTTGCTTGATTGGTTTTTGTGTGGTGCGTAAACGTGACAGAGATAAGTGGAGGGCAGAGGTAAGAACATAAAAAAACACACTAATTAAGTAATACTTAATATAAAATACAATCAATGTTTGTAAATATTAATATCTATAATCATAATCAGTTGCTTCTCTTTTGTCCAAAAGAGTCTTCATGCTTGTAAAGACAAGACTGTGATGAGAAATTAATATTGTAAAAATGACAAGAATCATATATTTGAAGGACCCCAACGGAAATAAGCGTATATTGTAACGCTTTTTGGGCTATCCTTGGATAGATTTGTTTAACATATATATCAGCTGTCTTTATTGTGATTTTATGTTCCGGTGTTGCATGTTTTATTTATGTCAATTGTTCACCTTATGTACTATGTAACATGTATTTAATTTATCATGCTTTGTATACATTTGTGAAAATCTTTCCTGAATAAATTTATTATTATTATTATTATATTTGCAGAATCATATCAATGCAGCAGAGATGCCACACCCAAACAGGTAACCTACTTCAGGATATTGACCAGTGATGGATACATGTGCTGTGTATATAGGGATGGACTGATAATTAGAAATAATTCAAAAGTAATTGGCTTAACAAAACATGACCAACAAGCAAAAACTGTAGAGTTCAAGAATGACTCAACATAACTTTTTTTATCTCAGAAATACACAGACCATGTGCACATCCTTAAGTTAAGTTGAATATTTGGAAGTGTATTTACTGATAGATATTTACATTATGTAGAAATAAAAACAACTAATAGCCAAGAAAGGCTTTTATCATTGATTTGCAACTAGTAGAAAATACACTTATACAGATTTTATCCTTCTAAATACTTATTATATAGGGTAAAACTTTGATTTGAAAATTTACGTGAAAGAAACAAAAAACTCAATTTATTTTGCAGTTTATGTATGGAACTGACTACATATGTAATCAATATCCATTGATGTATAGTTAATTATTGGTAATGAAACTGAAAACAGTTCTTATCTCTATGTTCGTACTGTAAATGTGTGGTTATAGACAAGTGGTCCCTAAAGTAGGTCCATTGTAGTTACAGACAAATGGTCCCTAAATAGGTCAATTGTAGTTACAGACAAATGGTCCCTAAATAGGTCAATTGCAGTTACAGACAAGTGGTCCCTAAAGTAGGTCCATTGTAGTTACAGACAAATGGTCCCTAAATAGGTCAATTGTAGTTACAGACAAATGGTCCCTAAATAGGTCAATTGTAGTTACAGACAAATGGTCCCTAAATAGGTCAATTGTAGTTACAGACAAGTGGTCCCTAAAGTAGGTCAATTTTAGTTACATACAGATGATCCCTGAAGTAAGTCAGCGGTAGTTAAGACAAGTGATCCCTACAGCTGATTGGTTGCAGTTATAGACAGGTGGTCTGTAAAGAACCAGGTTATGATTACAAATCGATGAATCCTGAAGTAGGCTTGTTGTAGTTATAAACAAGTTGTCCCTGAATTAGGTCAATAAAGTTAAAGACAAATGATCCCTTAAGTAGAGTGAATGTGCTATAGTTGTCTGTAAGGCAAATTTGATGGTAGTTATAGGTGGTGGCTATAGTTGTCTGTAAGGCAAATTTGATGGTAGTTATAGGTGGTGGCTATAGTTGTCTGTAAGGCAGATTTGATGGTAGTTATAGGTGGTTGCTATAGATGTCTGTAAGGTAGATTTGATGGTAGTTATAGGTGGTGGCTATAGTTGTCTGTAAGGTAGATTTGATGGTAGTTATAGGTGGTGGCTATAGTTGTCTGTAAGGTAGATTTGATGGTAGCTATTGGTGGTGGCTATAGTTGTCTGTAAGGTAGATTTGATGGTAGTTATAGGTGGTGGCTATAGTTGTCTGTAAGGTAGATTTGATGGTAGCTATAGGTGGTGGCTATAGTTGTCTGTAAGGCAGATGTGATGGTAGTTATAGGTGGTGGCTATAGTTGTCTGTAAGGTAGATTTGATGGTAGCTATTGGTGGTGGCTATAGTTGTCTGTAAGGTAGATTTGACTGTAGCTTCAGGTAGGTGTTGATGGTATCTGTAGACAAGAGGTCATTAAGGCATGTTTGATTGTGGAAAGGTTATTTTTTTATAAATTTCCTGTTGATTAGTTTGTGTATGCTTATCTTGATACAGATTAATTCAGCTGGTTGTGGCGTTCCCTACTGTGTGTGATTTGGTGGGAACTTCCCTAGCAGGTAAATATGGATTTTTGCATAGGAATTTTATAGTAAAACACTTTAATGATATACAACAGATAAATTGTTATTTTCTAAAAGCCATAAGGCAAACAGAATATAAAAAGACAACATAAGATAGATTTAATTATCACTAATGAAAACTAATTTTGAGACTCCCTTAGACAAGGTTTAAAGGGATAAATGTGGTCGCCTTTTCTCCATCATTGTGTACAGAAAGTGATCCTATGATTTGAAAATCTATATTTTAAGAAGATATGATTTTTTTCTTGGATCCAGCAACAGTTCCAGTAATTCAGTTAAGTGTGACTTATACTATAAATTGTTGACAGGTATTGGCTTGGTGTATGTTGACGCCTCAGTTTGGCAGATGTTACGAGGCTCCATCATCATATTTGCTGGAATTTTATCAGTAAGTGTTTGAATTCTGTTTATGATCTAATTTTGAACCCTTTGTATACAACTAAACGTTATTTAAAGCACAATATATAGTAAACACACAATCAATATGAAGACATAAAAAGAGGCTCAGAGGGCTGTAGTACTTTTGCGTTAGGTGCTGTATTCTTTTCATAGATAAAGTACGGAATATTTTCTTTGATCTGGGCCCACAGTTTACATGTACATATATGTAATTGTCGAATTTTCTTTTTCATTTAATTTTGCATCCCTCATCCCTCATCTACTTCCTCACACCATTTATTTTAGTGTTGAAATTCTGAGAAAAAAAAATTAACACTGATTTACTACTGGATGTTTGTATAAACCTTATTTTTCATATTTCAGAGGATTTTTCTGAAGCGCCAGATTGGTTGTATCAAATGGACTGGGATGATTTTCACCATGGGAGGTTTGGTACTCGTAGGCTGTTCCAGTATATTCAAAGCAGACAGGAGCAACCAACAGGCTGGCAATACAATTCTAGGTAACATTTAAGTTATGTTTTAAATAGTAGGATTTACCTGCGTTTCCATTTCATATCAGATTTATAAAACAATTCTTAAAAAGTCAGGGTTACTTTGAGGCAGGGATTTCACAAACATCTGGAGAGATCTGTTTCTAAAAGCTTCCTGAGAAACGAAAATTGTCAGGGATAGGAAGCCAACCACACTCTCCTGGATCTTTACCAGTCATGGTCCATGTTGTATCAGCAAAATGTTTTTCATGACAATAGACGATTGCTATGATATTTTTTAATGTGCACTTAAAGAAGGGGAGGTAATACCTTAAAAACACCGTAATAATCCAGTGTTGGCTAGTTCCTGCATTATCAGTTCTTTCATTTTACTTACAATCCCCACCCCCTCCCTCCTCCCCAGTGTATCTTATAGTGTTAATTCTTTGTGTTATATATCATAATACAAAATATTAACATTGAAATCAGTTACAATGTATATCAATTATTTCTTTGACAAGCATGACAGATCAAATCCAGTCTGTAAATAATTTTGTCAAGAAGTTGTGTTGTTTTTATTTTCAGAATACAATTTCTAAGTTTGATTTAGTTTTAACAAACTGAAAATCTAAACGTTTCAGCATGCTGAACTCACAAACGATGAAAACTCAATGATGAGGATTTTTTTCATTACTGTGAACATGGTACAAATTTTTCAGGCATAATATTGATCATATCCAGTCAACTTGTTAGTGCCTCTCAGATGATTATAGAGGAAATATTTTTAAAGAAAAGAAGTCTTCATCCACTACAGGCAAGTAGAAGATTACCTCTTGGTAATTCAAATTTTTGTAGTTTTACCAAATATTAATGTTGAAATAGATACAACTGTTTGCAGTAATTTTATTTCCAATAAAAATGTTTGTTTTCAAGGTATATTTTGCGACTTTGTTCAATCAACAATAATGGCGAAAAACAAAAAACACAACCCTTCAAAAATTAAAACCGTTATGGTATATTATTATAGTTTTCATTTTGGTAGAGGGATTGAAGGCAGATATCCATCTGAATTATAGCGCATTGGTTATACAAGGTATTCATGTGTCGTACATTTATGAAAGAAAAATTACTTTGTAGGTTGTTGGGTTGGAAGGAAGTTACGGTGTTTTCTTCATGTCTGTGGTAGGTTCATACATATGAAATATTGACTAGATGATACGTCACAGAAAACAAAATATTCTAGTCTTAAATGAGAATAATGTTATTGGTCAAATCACTGAAATGTTTTCCTGTTAAAATGTAATTATTTTTTTACTGAAGAATTCCTGTTAAAATGTAATTAATTTTTTACTGAAGAATTCCTGTTAAAATGTAATTATGTTTTCTGAAGTGTTCCTCTTAAAATGTTATTAGTTTGTTACTGAAGTGTCATACTGACTACAGTATTACAGGCAGGTCAATATATTTGTATTACAACCTGCATAACTTAGAGATTATAAAAAAATATAGTCTCTAACTTATGTGATTACACTATTGAAATTAAGGTTAAATGCATTTGAGAAAATTTTTTGTTGTAGATAGTCCTACCAGCTATGTACTATATCCCTGGTTCAGATGTAAACAACAGTTATGAAAACAGCCTTGATGCTCTGTACCAGATCGCCAATGAGCCCCAATTACTTGTGTTTTGTCTCCTGTATCTGCTGTCTATTGCCTTCTACAATTACTTTGGACTAGCTGTCACCAAGTCTCTGACAGGTGAGTTTGTGTGTGTTATCTGCTCATAAGATATGATAGAACTAGACAGGGTCAGTTGTCTGAGACCAGGTGGTTCATTTGGTGGTCATGGGTTCAAATCTGAACCTTCATAAAAAGTACTACTAGAGATACATATTTCTGTTTATTATATGACTTGCAATTTTCCTGAGCACTGATTGGCTCATTTCAAATATGCTCAGCTGAAGAAATTGTTATATTTACCTTGCATACTCCCAGCGGGTAATATAACAATTCAGTCGTACCCATAAGTAGTAACAAGGGGATTTCCAATATTTGAACACTGAGCGTTTAGTCAGAATGTAAATTTCATCTATGCTTTGGGTTGCTGTATGGAGGAAAATCCAGGGCAGTCTAAAATCAAGTTTTCCACCTTGGATGAGGCTAAATTCAAACAATTGTTGACAGAGAAAGATTCTGAAATTGGTAGTTGTGTTTTATCTATTATAAACTCGTTTTTGTTGAATTGAAACACCTAAAAAAGTATAAAGATTTGAAATAAAAGAATGAAAAGCTAAGTCATCATCATATAAGTATTTATTGATTTTTATGAGGTGAATACATTGATTTACCTGCTCTAAAAGGAAATATTCACCTTGCCTTATCAGGCTATGTGAATATTAATTTATCAGGTAAAAGTTAATAATTGTATATTAGATTAGTTATGTTAGTTATAGTAGATGGTACAGATACCTTCAAATTGTCTGTTTCAGCGGTACATCGTACTTTGATTGATGCCTGCAGAACAATGTTAGTTTGGGGTGTTGATCTCTTTATCTACTATGCCTTTGACGAGGTAAGCAAGCTTTTAAATTTCTCATCTGCATCAACAGTCATCTCTTTGATAAAATTGTGTTGCTTTCAAACATGGTTGGAGATGACTGTTTTCAAAGGATCAAATTTCATTAATATGCTACTGTCCCATGGTGATATAACGGTAAATTAGAGAAGAGACCCATAGGGCCTGTATCACTCACCACATTTATTCATTTTTTTGCTTTTTTGTTTTTATCCAAACTAAACATAAAGAAAGTCTTAAGTATGTATCTATTTCTCCCATCAGCCCCACCCCATCTGCCCTCAGGGGGTCAGCCAAATTATTTATACCTCCTGCACCCAAAAATGATTCAGACCATATTGATACAGAATCCTGACGTTTCTACAGAAGAAGATTTTAATAGTATGTTCTCTACTTCCCTTTTTGGGTAGGACTACCCACTGTTTATACAAGAGATGGGTCTTTATTTTGGAATGCTTCAGACCAAATTTGGATAGAATCACAATCATTCCTACAGAAGAATTAAATAAAGAATTTGCTCTATTTTTTCTATTTGGCTCAAACCCTACCTGCCCCACTAAGCCAAGACTCACTGTTTATACAAAATTGCATCCTCTTCACCCAAGACTGTAGAAACATGACATTTCTATAGAAGAAGGACTTCAAAGATTTGTTCTATTTCCCCAATTAGACCCTGCTCTGCTGGCCCCATGGTGACAAGTCCCACTGTTCTTACAGAATTAAGTTCTTTTCACCTAAGAATGTTTCAGACCAAATTTGGACGAAGTGTGAACATTCCTAAAGAAGAAGGATATTATATGAATTTGCTAAATTTCCCAATTTTGGCCTGGCCCCACAAACCCTATGGGGTTTGCATGAAGCTTTTATACAAAATTGAGTTCTATTCCTCAAAGGATACTTCTGACAAAATTTAGTCAAAATCTGCTCTGTGGTTCATTGCTAGTAGTGTTTTAAAGAAATTGTTGACGGACGACTGACAGAGGATGGATGTCATGGTACAGCATTAACTCAATTTGGTCCTTTGGATCAGGTGAGCAGTAAAAAATAATACAAAATAAAAATCTTGCTGTTGACTTTTAATGCCTGCATCTGCCTGTACCTAATTCTGAATTTCTTTGACAGGGATTTGGTGAACCGTTTGATAAAACATATGGTTTATTACAAGGTATGTATAAACAGTGTAAACTATTTGGATCTATGGCTTTAAATGATGTAGGAAGGCAATATCCTGTCAATATATATAGACTAGTTAAAAAAAACCAATTTGAGTGACAAATTGGAACATTTGGTGGTTCCCCCTGAGTTATAATCTTATGTCTACATTTGTCTCCTTCCAGTGGATGGTTTCTTGTTCCTTTTGATTGGAACAGCTCTATACAACAATCTTGTTGATCTTCATTGGATACCTTGCCTGCGTAGCTGTGTATCACAACCAGACACTCAACCACTGAATCACAAGGGTAACATCCAGGAGTCCAGCGATTCAGACAGTGATGATGAATATAACTCTGTGTCAGAGAGAACAAGACTTTTACAAGGAAATGATTGAATGTTAAAAAAATGATACTAGTTTAGAGTTATAGAACTTGACAATGTTGGATAGCACTCTAATTGGATCGTTACATATGTCATTCAACAGTAATGAATTCAGTCCAAGTCAGTAAATTTGAATTCATTAAACAACAAAAAGATGTTAAAAGATGTATACAAAATTGGATTAGATGGGATGTCAGAATTAACAAAAGTCAAACCAAACAGAATGTCAAAACAGAGAGAATGTCAGAAGTCAGGTCAGATGGGTCGTCAAAATTCTCAGAAGTTAGTCAAGATAGGATGTCAGAATCCTCAGAAATCAGATTAAGACAGGTTGTCAGAATTCTCAGAAGTTATACAAGACAGGATGTCAGAATTCTCAGAAATCGGATTAGACAGGTTGTCAGAATTCTCAGAAGCTAGTCAACAGGATATCAGTATTCTCAAGAATTCAGATTAGACAGGCTGTCAGAACTCTCAGAAATTGGGTCAGATAAGATGTAAGAATTCTCAGAAGTCAGAAAGGAGAAAGGACAGTTTGTCATAATTATCGGAAGTTAGATAAGACAGGTTGTCAGAATTCTAATAAGTTTGACAAGATAGGATATCAGAAGTCTCAGAAGTAAGATTAGACAGGTTGTCGGCACTCTCAGAAATTTGGTTAGACAGGATGTCAAAATACTCAGAAGTCAGATAGGACAGGTTGTCATAATTCTCAGAAGTCAGCTTTATAGGATGTCAGAATACTCGGAATCTTAAACAGATTTAGTCCTTTTGAATTATAATTGCATTGTGTTTAACATGAATTTCATTTGCACAATGCAGGGATGAAAAGAAAATCATTTATTGAATACAATGATTGTAAGACTCTCCTGTGCTCTGATCGGGGTACTCTAATATCACAATGTTGAGGTATAGATGTTCATAATGTTGATTTATGATCACCAGCAATATAATAAATTCAATGTTCATTCTTATAAATGTGCCAAATTCCTTTGACCTGTGGTGGAATTTATTGTTTACATTCCAAAAAAACTCATTATTATTATAGACAGAATGTATCTGTGCGTAAGTGGTTGACATAGGTGTGTTTGACTTGAAAGTTTATGAAACATTATTGGTTGATTGGATAAGTGATTCATTTTCCTATCAGAAAAAGTCATTGTTTTACGTGATTTATTTCAAGATATATTTTCATAACTTTATTATATTTGCATGACAAAATCATAATTGTTTGCAGCTACTTATATTTACATGTGTATAGAACTAAACTGAATATTCCTCATGCTGCTTAGAACAATTACCTATGTTTAGAGATATTTCTAACAAAATTAAAATTTTACACTGTGGAAAGGTATGTGTATTTTGTATGCAAGATGTGCTGGATTATCTATGGACTACTACACAAGCTTGCATTTTGTCCGACAAGGCAGAGACAAGCAGCTTGACATAAAAAGTGTTGATATTTTCTATGCAAGATATCTTTACTGTGAAATCTCTCTAAATCAGCCTCTCTGATTCATAATTATTCTATTCTGACCAAATTACATATAACAAAGCATTTAATCTAAACTGGACAAAATAGTTGGCTTAAATATCTGGTTTAGAGTGAATCCACTGTAAACATAAAATCAACAAGAACTCCTAATTTCTCTTTTGTTATTGGTTTAATAATATCATAATACACAACATGTCTAACAAATATCATAACGTAATCCACTTCATAATGAAGTTAGCAATAATGTGATACAGAAGGTAAAGCTACATAGATTTACACAGGTCACATGATCATTATATATCGCTGTAACATTGGTGATAACTTTAAAAAGTCATGACAACGAACATATAATTTTTGAGAGATACATACATGTATTATATGAAAAATTATAACTTTGAATGTTTTTTGAAAATTTGAAATTTGCATCTTCACAAAAATCCAAATATGTGAACATAAGGGACATGTATGCATTTCATATAAGAACCTTTTGGACATCTTGTCGTATAGTATCTTCTGATGTTCTTATCCGTGACCAAGCTTGAAGAATTCAGATGATAATTTCTGATCAACTTGGTGGACCAGACTGTAAGGGCAGTAGACTTGTAAAATGCAATTAAATTTAATATCAGATAAAAGTTTAAAAATTAAGAACACATATTAGTATATAAAATTTGTTTCAACAGACATATTAACAAAGATAATAACTTGTTGACGACAATAATCCATAACGAATACTGAATCTTTCACAGTTAGACATTGTATGACACATTTGTAAATTAGCTCTTACTTTACTAGACCTTTCTGGTATAAAAGTATACCTAGCATGTGTGCATAGGGATGCAAAAATGTATTAAAAACAAAACACATGTAGAAGTAACCATTTTTTATGATTTTTGGAATTTCCATGAAACTATGTGCAAAAATTTTTAAAAGATTGTTAGGAAAATAGCTGAGGTCAGCTTATTTCTAAATGCTTCAACTGTTTTACTGTTAAAATGACAACAAAAAAGTAATTCCATTACATACAAATATGCAAGGAAAATGAGTTGCGACTGTCAGGGATTAGTCTATATGGAGATCACTATTAATACCTTGCACTTTGATCGTATGATACAGTGTCATATCAAAATCAAGGTCACCACACTGATATTGGACGTCACATGTACTACACTGTCAAGGTCACAACACTCGGCATTACATGTCCTCAAAGTCACAACACATCAACTGTCCTTTCTTTCAAGGTCACAACATTACAACCTTCATAATACTGTCAGGTCACAACACATAATATGACACACTCTTATGAGATAAAAATGGTTAATATCAAAGTGAACCTCACAACATGGGACGCTACACAGTACTGAAATGTCAAGGCCACATCATCAGACATCATTACCAGGGACACTACACAGTACTGAAATGTCAAGGCCACATCATCAGACATCATTACCAGTACATAACACAGGCCATACATATACTTTTACTGAATGACAATGTGGAAGTTGTAACATTACACTGGATATCACTGTAATGGTTAAAATATAACAACATATTAAATGTCCTAAATGTTCATTCTCTAAGTTAACATTTTTGTCTTCCGTCTCTGAAGTAGATAAGTGAGATTCTATATCATCAGTAAAGCTTCCTTCAATCCTGCGCTATCCATTTAGTAAGTATGTTACCAAATTCTATAATAACATAAAGAAATGCCATTCATAATTCTGACACTGTTACAGATTAATTTTTTTTTATCAATCAACCTAAAGAATCACAGATCTCACAACACTGTTATTCATAAGGAGTAATGTCTCTGAGGACACTACCCATTCTCAAAATCAGACCTGAGCTGAAGACGGGAAGTCTTCTGATGTATATGTTAAGATTTCAAGTAAGATTTATCATTTCTTAGAAGCCTACACTTCAATTATTTTTTTCATTCTGCAATTTTTTTTTCTTCCACATTTAAGCTGCATTGATATAGAGCCGCACGCCTGACTGCCGAGGAAAAAGCAGCAGCTTATATAAGAACACCTGGGTCTGTGATGATAAGATAATCAGAAAATTCTTCTATAAAATTATGATTGTATTCGCAAAGTCAGTGTATGACAAATTCATTTGTAAGGGAAACTAATAGATACCTGTGCACTTAGGTTAATGAAGTGTGTGAGTTATTTGGGGAGGGGAATTAACGGTGTGCTGGAGTTAACAAGCTTTAATAAACTTGGTGGAGTTAATGTAGTAAATAGAGTTAACGATTTATATCATGGGATAAAAGAAGATAAGGGGACTGATGTAAAATTGTGTAAATTGAGTCAATTGATTTGATTGGATTGATAGCGTTTATGATTGAGTCAATAATGTTCAGGTTGTATTGGGATTTAACAAATTAATATGACGTAAATCTAATACAATAAGTATCTTAGCAGAATCCACCAATAACAGTCAAGCAACTTATTTCTCTTAATCAACGCCTCATTAATAAAAAAAAATAACATTGATATATATTCGTGATTATACAGTAAAACCATGATACATGCCTCTCACTTGATTTGCCATTTTGTTTTCCTCCAAAATATATCATTATTTCATAAATATTCTTAAGTTTGAATTTTTAAACACAAAAAATTGCTGAGAAGGAGGCAACATAGAGGTTTTGTTGTACTTGAAATATATGAAACGTTTAAGTGACTATCACATATGAATCTCTGTTAACATAATTTGGGCGTTCATGATCAGGAAGTTTATTGTAATTTCTCTGTCATGATCCTCGTGGTATAGTCTGCTAAGTGCTGCACTGCTCGACACTCAATGTGAGTATTAGCCCCATTCTCTTGCATCAGAGGCAGGTTGAAGGATAATTTGTCAACATCCTCTGGAACATCAGTACCAATGAAAACATGCACCTAGAATAAAAAGTATACATACCAAGGATAAGTATGCAATTAATGGGTGTATAATCATCTACAAAGGCACCTTAGAATACACCAACTAACACCTGTCTACAGAGACACCTGGATAAACAGTACTAGTTATCTAGTCATACCTGTCTACACAGACACCTGGATAAACAGTACTAGTTATCTAGTCACACCTGTCTACACAGACACCTGGATAAACAGTACTAGTTATCTAGTCATACCTGTCTACATAGACACCTGGATAAACAGTAATAGTTGTCTAGTCACACCTGTCTACACAGACACCTGGATAAACAGTACTAGTTATCTAGTCATACCTGTCTACATAGACACCTGGATAAACAGTACTAGTTGTCTAGTCATACCTGTCTACACAGACACCTGGATAAACAGTACTAGTTGTCTAGTCATACCTGTCTACACAGACACCTGGACATACTGTATTAATTATCTAGTCATACCTGTCTACAAGGACACCTGGATATACTGTATTAATTATCTAGTCATACCTGTCTACAAGGACACCTGGATATACTGTATTAATTATCTAGTCATACCTGTCTACAAGGACACCTGGATATACTGTATTAATTATCTAGTCATACCTGTCTACATAGACACCTGGATAAACAGTACTAGTTGTCTAGTCATACCTGTCTACACAGACACCTGGATAAACAGTACTAGTTGTCTAGTCATACCTGTCTACACAGACACCTGGACATACTGTATTAATTATCTAGTCATACCTGTCTACAAGGACACCTGGATATACTGTATTAATTATCTAGTCATACCTGTCTACAAGGACACCTGGATATACTGTATTAATTATCTAGTCATACCTGTCTACAAGGACACCTGGATATACATTATTAATTACCCAGCCATACCTGCTTACAAGTACACCAGGTCTACAGTATAAATTGTTTCGTCATAACTGTCTACAAAGGACTTTGGGATAATCTAATAATTATAATTATACAGTTATAATTTTCTGAAGAAAATCAGTACCTTCCTTTCAGCTATGACCTTGTAGGCATCAAGCTGAGTCCCTGCAGCCCTAGCAGATAAAGCCGCTGTTGCCTCTTTGCGCCAAAGCTCCAAAAGCTCAGCTGTTGTTATTCCTACAAGCAAATCAAATTAACGAATCTGTTGTTTTGTAAGTTCTGTAAGCAGAACAAGCTAATGTTAATATTGAATTGAAGGAAAATCATTACAAACTGTAGAAAAAACAGGAAATGTCATCCAAAGGATAACTTATACCCTCCATAGCCTTAACAATCAATAGTCAAAGGAGGTTATCCAAAATTGAAAAAATGCGCTCAAAATCTCTCCCCACATGTAAATTTACATATATATCAATAGCTAATGCTGATGTTTCAGCCAAATGGATGGCTCATTTCAGATACCAGGTCAACTGACACAAGTTAAAAGAAAGTTGGTGGAACATTGAATAGTTTACAGACCAAAACATGTTGACAAATCTAGAACAGTAGTTTCAACATATTTAGTACTTCTGAATAACTGTAGAATAGAGTACTGATTATATCTGTAATATTTTTGTGGGAAATTTATTTTCATTGATTCCCTAGGGATTCTTAATCCACAAATTCATATGTTAACAAAATGATTAACAGATAAAACTTGATATTAATTATAGTACTAGAGGATTTTGAGAGTTTTGGAAAACAATGAAATTTGAGCCCCAAAAAAAGATGATTTGATAGTATATGTAAAACTTACCTTGATATTCAACATTAAAACTGAGCCAGAAAATGAATTTCTTTTTGAGAGGTTGTTGTGACACTTTGGTGAGAGTTGGATCTACATTTAGTGCTGCAGCAAATGTCTCGTAGTGTGACAGAGGAATGCATGACACATCAAATATACCAAGTCTTGATAAACCACCCATATTCCTCTCAAGGCCCAAGATGTTGTTTACTTCCAGAACTTTAAACAATAATTAGAAAATTCAATGAGGAGCTTGTCATTTCACCTACAGAGTGGTAGATGTTCATCTGCATAGGGTTTTTTTCCAACTAACTTGAGAATGTGGCCCCTAGCTCTTAAGTTGGTAAAAAAAGTGTGACAAAATCTCAAATTGAGATACCTATACAAATAAGAAAATACAAAAATATTGATATTTAATCATAATCTTAAGATTTATTTCTCTATTATCAGCCCTAAAGAAAAACCCTAAATTGCTAAACTAGATTTTATCATTCAATAACAAAATTTTCTATATTTTTGATGTGATTTGAATTTTTTTTTAGCAAATTTGAGAATTGTAAAAATCCATAACACAAAAGAGTGAAACAAAACTTTGTATACTTTCATGTTTATAAAATATGAAGCGCACATTCATAAGAAATACAAAAAATAAAGAAAAATGTATTATTTCAAATTGCAATTAAAACTTCAGACACAGACTGTTTATCTTAAGGCATTTCTATCAAGATGTTACATGAAGTATTTATTGTTGTGAAGAAACACTTTAAGAAAATAAGTACCTTAACAACATTTTATTACATTGGAATTTAAACAAGATCATAAAGTAACAGACTTTATCACAATCAAAACTAATCAATGAATGGTAATGAAAAACTGCAATATCTATTATTTTTACAGGAATTGATTTAATCTGGAATATCTAAATTACAAAAAGGAACAAATCATAAATGTTCAATCTTTTCAGTCATAGAGAGTTCTCTACTGAGCTGTTGTATATCTTATTTAAAATATGTCAACAATACAAGTTTTCAAAATAAATGTTGATCTACAATCAATTCTCTGGAAGAATTTATGACACAATAATGTATCAAGAGAAATATGAAATGGTTCTGTACAACTATATGATTAATACAATCCTTTGCTACTTACTAGCAACAACCTTCGGCTCCCCACACACCTGCAACAGAGTAAGTAGGTTGTTAGTTAATAGACAGGAAACCAGATGACTTTTTCTTTAATGGGATTAGATTCCAGAAAGACAACATTCAATGTATATACAAAATGTCTCAGGTAGTGTATCATGTATGTTAGTTACCTTACATGAACTATTATCTATGGCAAGTATTGAATTTTTTTCTCATGAATTCAAGAAATGTGTTTTCTGAATGAGGAAATTCTGTTGGAGTAAACCAATTTTGCAAGTCTTAAAATTGCATAAAAAACAATCTTTAAGAGAACACTATATCATTTCAAATGTTACACATTGCAATGCTATTTGAATACAATAAAGGTACTTTTTATCTCATTGAAGGAAATTTGTGAAGAAATGTTTTACATTGATTACTTAAGGTGCAAAAACTGGTTTCACAATAGACATATATATATGTATGTCATACTCTGTATGACATTTTAGCGATAGTCACCTTGACCCTTGGCAGATAACATTCATACTGGACCTTGTTCAAGATATCTATAAAATTCTGACTGCATTAAGTAAAGATATTTTAAATGAATAATGAAAACTGAGGTAGCAGTTACCTTGAACTTGTGGATAACGCGACTAGCTTTTGGGTAGCCTTTGAGGAATCCATCTACTTTTGATAGGAATGTGGGAAGGTCAAGTCCAGGAGTACCGCTCTCCTTAATCCTCAATACTACCATTAACAACTGGGAAGCCATGTCGTATAAATTCAATCTACAAAAGAAATTGTTTGTCTTTTTATTCAGCTTGAAACCATTTTGTTAAACTTAAACAATAATTTACAATTAGTACATAATAAAAAATGAAAAATGTAAAAGAAAAGAGAGAAGAAAAAAAATTGATATATGACTATGATTTTGGTTTTATATCCGATTACCTGAGACTTTATCATAAGGTTTTGAAGAGGTGAAAGCCTTGTCCTGATACAACTTTCTGTTCCGATTTCCAAGATAGCTGCCATGACAAAATGTGAAGCTTTGTTGGAGAACTCACAAGTTTATCAGACAGCAGGAATGAACTGTTTGTTTGCTTGGTTCATCACCCAGTGAACACCCAGGGTAATTTTGAGGTAGGGTCTCCGTGAAGTAGCTGGTTGCTACCTCACTGAACATACAGAAGGCCTGTTAATGCCATTCAGAACAGTTAGGTTAAAGCCTCTTGCCTGAAGACACAACTTTGCCAGTACAGACCAGCCCAGTTCTGAGTTTCTTGAGAAACACAAAACACAAAGGTAGGGAGCGTCAAACCATAAACCCGAGATCTTAATCTGAGGTTACGTAAGCCAACACTCTTACCAACTTTGCTAATGTGACCCCTCCTGAACTGTGTTTTGCATATAAATGTAATGTACCATATATTTACACCAGTTCATTTTTAATGCAATTTATTTTGTATTGCAAATTCTATCTGAAGTTGTATTGGAGACCTCTTAATGATATAAAAGCGAAGTGTTGCTGTTTAGTAATTAGGAACCTGGTCCAAAGATCAACTCTGTAGGACATGGATTTATCTGAATTTCATGCTAATATTTTAAAAGGTTTACATGAGACTTCCCTGAGTGCTAAACTTTTAAAGTATCATTATGAGAATTCAGAGATGACTCTGTCAGCACCATATGAATGTGATTGATTTGATTTCAATACTCTATTACCTACAAATATAGGTATAACATAATAATTCAGAGGCTTATCTGCCTGTACAACAATACACATTGATATTACATCATTATTATGTTGAACCCTGAAAAAAGTATTTCAGGGGCTGAAAATATTTGTAAAATTGTCCTGATGAAGCCTCGGCCGGAGGCGAAACTAGTCAACAATAAAGTCTAACCAGCTACTAAACCAGCGACACTTGAGTTTGTTGCGAATGACTCCTTACCCTTTACTAATTTCATTAAATTCAGTAACAAGAAATTGTTTCTTCATTTCATGTTAATTGATTCCTTATGTATTACCTATCACCACAATATCTCCAAACATGCTCAATAAAACTAATTTCAAAAGTAACATTGATAGACCTGGTCAGCTAAAAATCACTGATTTAAGCATTGCACATTGAAGATTAACAAAAGACCAATATCCTATATGGCAGTAATACAACATTTATTTCACCTAAATGAAGCTTTTCTGTTACATCTTAATCCAGTTGACATAATGATATATATTTCCAGACCTGTTTACCGCATTTACTTGATTTATTAGCAAATCACACTTATTCTGGTTAATAAACCAGTTTACAAATATTTGTATTATTCATAGAAACACTTATATACATAGGGTGTAGCTACAACACATAAAACATTCTGTTTAATAAACCCACATTCAGCTAAGACCTATCTTTCAATTACACCAGTATTGATGTATACCAGTAAATGTAACAAATATGCATGTAATCCAGGTTCTGATCATTCAGTGTTCACATAATCCTCAATTACCATTTATAGCTGTTCTTCCACATAATATTTATTTTCTACACATATGTTTATGTACGTGCACTTTTTGTACTATAAGCCTACATGTACATGTCATCAACTACATTAAAACTGACCATAATCACAGTTTCAAAAAATTTAATTGGTTACCTGTCTATGAGCACCCAACTGACTGCCTAGAATTATGCACTTATGGTCAGTTTCAGTGGTCTAGTGTATACTTCCATCATATACAATGTTCATGTACTTGATTATAAAAAAATATGAAATATTGCAAGCACATCAGAAGACATTATATAGCAACTTCATTCAATATACAAATTAACAAAGGTGAATGTCGTGTGAATGCAAGTTTTGTTACTTTTCTGCAGTCGGTGAAAATTAAATCATTAAAATTTAGCTATACATTACATGAATGTAAGCCTAACTATAACCTACTTTCACTTTCGCAGCAGCCGACAGCTAGCAAGTTACTCCGTTTTTCGCCAAAATTAAAGAAGGCAGTGTAGCTGATCTTAGTAACACTTCGTGGCAACCACCCTGATATGGAAAATAGATACAGGTAATTACCTAGCTGCCTTTGAAGTTCCTTTCAGAACTCAAGTTTTCTCTAATTTTAGCCATGCGAATCACGTGACATTTATAATAGTCCGCGGTTGCCGGTCTGTTGAAAATGATATCGTTAATGACATTTGAGGCCTTTAAATACCGAGAATAGATTGGAGTGTATGAAAATGACTGTGTCGCGAATAAATGTTGTACCACGAAGAAAATATGAACACGATATATATTGCATGTAAGTTAGATCTGCATCATGTCAGGCATGCGATGTTCGGTTAAAAATAAAGTGGTTCATATCTCAAGACCTGAATGAGGTCTACCTTTCCATAGAGCATTTTATCGATTAGACAAATCGCAGTCTTTAAAATAACATGACATGCCTGAAATCCACACGGAATCCTTCTCCAGATGTGCCAAATATTGAAGTTGTCAACTAGCAGAAGACTGTATATTCCGGAAGCACACAGTTAAAAACTAATAGTGAACCCGATTCTGGTACAACGGCTCCGCCATTGGGAAACTTGTATGATTCTGATATTTTTATTCGTGATCCGATCTTTATAGAAGATTCGAAATTACTTTATGTAATACGTGATTTTTTGAATTAATATATATTTTCGTCGTTTTAACCGTTGTATTTTGATATGCCCATTTTCCAACGGGACACTTTCAGGTGGCAACAAGTTGTATCAACGTATGACAAGCTGACGCTGTCTCTACACACACACACACACACACACACACCACACACACACACACACACACACACACACACACACACACACACACACACACACACACACACACACACACACACACACACACACACACACACACACACACACACACACACACACACATATATATAACATAAATATACTGAAAGGATAAAGAAGCGCAGGGTAATATTTATTCCGATATTTTGAAAACGCGTTCTCCAAATAAAGTGAAACTTTGTGGATTGAGTAATTAGGTCATATTACACCTTGTCATGTATCGAAAATTTAGTCACGGTACAGTGCGCAGCTCTGGTAAATGGAGGAAGAAAAAAACAAGAATCTCGTGCATAGTGCTGTTCTGGTCTCATGCAGCGTTAGTCAAGCCACCCTTCGTCAGTCTTTATACAGACCAACTGCTTCCCTAAAATTAATTGAGAATTTGATTCGTTTTAAGAATGGCACGACTCACAGAAGTTCAGAGGGTCAGGACATTAAGATGCTGATGCAAGGACAGCTGCAAAATCAGGTTGCTAGACACTTTGGTGTTAATGTTTCCACCATAGAACGTCTTGTAAGACGTCTTCTGGAAACTGGGCGATTGGCCGATCGACCTAGGTCAGGACGTCCGCGCGTAACGTCACGACGTCAGGATCGCTATATCGTCGTCTCTCATGTGCGTAATCGGCGCCTTACTGCCTTTGAGAGTGCACTTTATGTTCGTGGAAATCATGGGCGTCCTATAAGTTCAAAAACTGTAAGGAATCGATTACGAGAAATTGGTGTAAGAGCACGTCGCCCGTACGTAGGTCCACACCTTACCCCTGCTCGACGTCAGCGTCGTATGGCCTGGGTCGCTGCACATGCTCCACGACGGTTTCCACTGAGGCAGTGGAGACAAGTTTTCTTCACGGACGAGTCTCGGTTCTATCTTTATCGATCTGACGGCCGTCAACGTGTCTACCGACGTCGTGGCGAACGTTTTACGGACGCTTGCGTTGTAGAGAGGGATAGGTTTGGGGGCGGTTCAGTAATGGTGTGGGAAGGAATCTCACACGGGTTAAAATCACAATTGGTTGTTATCGATGGCAATTTAACAGCAGCTAAGTATAGAGATGAGATCCTCCGACCCCATGTTATCCCTTTCTTACAGCAGCATAATTTAACCCTAAAGCAGGATAATGCTAGGCCCCACGTAGCAAGGATTTGCCAAGTCTTTCTGGCCAACAACAACATTCAACCACTAGATTGGCCGCCATATAGCCCTGATTTGTCCCCGATCGAGCATTTTTGGGACCAGTTGGATAGACAGATTCGAAAGCGCCAGCCACCCCCTGCTACTCGAGAGCAGTTGACCAGAGCTCTGATTGAAGAGTGGGACAACATCCCCATAAGACGGATTAACGCTCTCATGAACTCTATGACCAGAAGGGTAAGGGCCGTGACCACAGCAAACGGCGGACACACAAGATTTTGATGTCTCAGTTCAATTTCAATTTCAAAATTCTATGGGTCCATTCAATTTAATCGTTAGTACCTCTAAACCAGTTGTCAGATGCAAAATACAGACTTCGGAAATTTTTAAGCTTTAATTTATCTGTAAGTATACAAAATTTCGTTTTAAATGAAGCCCGATATCATAATTAATTTCTGGTTTAAAGTTCACCCTGCGTTTCTTTATCCTTTTAGTATAGAATGAAGAATTAAATATTTGGTCAGAAATTTCACTCCCAAATACACCTGGAACGCTATAAAATATATGAAATCTTTTATTCTAAATTAATTTCAAAAGTCTTAAGTGAGACACAAGTGTCATAAATGAGCTACACGGGGAAAATGAACTTGGGTGAAATATGGGGTTGAATTGTCGTATGTCTCAGCACTTTTCCTTTATTTTCCAAAAGGTGATGCTATGGAGAACACAAGAACGTATTAAAGTAATATAAGAGGGTATATCATTTGGTAGGTAATACATTTTAAAAATCTAAATAGGGAACAATAAGTGAAACTATCCTATTCAAATTTCTTTCACGCTCGAATGCGTTATCTCGAAGATTGTTTGAACATTACATTGATATATGCTCGAACATCGAGTAAGGAAATGTGACACTTTATTTATGTTACTCCTTCAAAGACATCGAGTTACTGGTGCTTCGTTCAACCGTTTAAAAGGGAAGGAAAATAGACAGAACACACTACATTGTCGTTGATACATTAAATTAGGACTTGAGGTTCAGAGGTCAAACCATTAATATCTTTATCTTCACAGAGTTGTTAGTTTGACTGATGTTTTGATAGACCATATATATATATAATATCTAGTTTCTGTAGGAGGTGCAGGTGAATATACCGGACGACTTGAACGTCGGAATTCAAGGTAGGCGGTGTCGGTCTGCCTACATCATACAGTGCAGCCTTAAGTGACGTCAACAACGGTAGCAGAGAAACACAAGGGTTTTCATTTCTTTTTTATTTAAACATATCTTTATTATCAAATAAATACAATGGGATCGGAAATAAGTTTTCCAACAATATGAAGCCCTCTCCCTAAGGTAATATACATGTACAACACCTAAATATTTACACAAGATGATATAAATCTATATTTCAAAAACGTGATTTGTTTTCATTATGGTAAAAAAAGGTATGGTAGGGATGGGATGCAAAGAAATAAGAAAATGCACGTGGAGAGGGAAAGTCCAGAGGGAAAATGTTCACTATTGAAGAATAGTACGGGAACTTTGGTTTTAACAGTTTAATGAGTGATGTTATAGGTTGAGTGAGTGAGTCTTTCTGGACCGACCCATCAAACACTAATAAACAATCCTTTGTTCGATTAGTTCGACTTTTCACAATTCATAATTCTTTTCTCGGGTTGCTTTCTCCTTTCTTTCTTGTACTTCCGTTTCTCCAGTGCCGATTGAGTCGGGGAAAGATCACAGTCTCCGCCCTTTAGGTTTGATTTTTTGGAACATTTTCTTCAGGTTGGTAATTTCAATAGAATTTAGTTCTTATAAAACTTAGTAAAATATGACTAAATGGTCACCTTTATCAGACAAATGACCGGTAAGGAGCGTACATGTTGTGCATTGTTTGGTCTATAATCTGTTCACCATCTCGTCACAATATTTCTAACCCTAGTGTACATAGGATTATATCACAGCCGAAAAACTTGGTCGATTCCTTACATTCTCTTACACTACGTACGCCAGTACAAGTACGCTCCACACTGGTCAACTGTCTGATGAAGGTGACGATGTAGTCACCGAAACGTCACATTCTAATCTTCTGCTGGTTGTTATAATAATTTCTTTTCTATTTTTATACGGGTTTGAAATTTTACCTCCTTTATTGCAGGTTTTTAAAATGACAATAAACATAACCTATTTCCAGCTGATCGTAGTTTAAGCAAGAGTAAAGCCATAGTAACACAATTTAATTATTCGAGACACGACTGTGTGTTTAACATTCATCCACCTCCAAAACAGTAAAACACCAACTTCTGAAATTCTAAATCTGAATGCTATCATAGTTCTTGTATAGATTCAAATGCTATCTTGACAGTTCAGACGCAAACGTAGCTCATGTGCTGATATATTACATTCCGAATCCGAAGGATTCTGAGTTTCTCACCGCGATTTTATCTCTTCCCGGTCCCGTAACCTGCAATATTACTTTCGAAAAGAAAAAATGACAAATTTATTTTGAAACAATTCGTTATCTTCGATGCACGCTAAAAACGGTTTTCAAAGTAGAAATACTATTTTCATTAGCTCCGGGAAACAAAGGGGTGAAAACACAATGCTGATAAAATGTAAGATTCTGAGAACCAATTTCATGAAACAGTGCTTTCTTTTACGCTTTAGAATTAGTATTTTCTACACGATCGTGTGACGAAACGTTTTCAATGACAAGTAGCCACAATTTAAATAGGGTTATTTAAGTTTCCCAATCCACACTTCAGAAGTGTTATATAAGTTTCTCAACCACACACCAGAAGTGTTAAGTTTACACCACCATAATTTATACACGTTCACGTTTAATGCTATCATTATTGGCAACCATCGAAATCATCAGAAGCAAAGTAAAACAGTTTCCAGATGGGCTTTTTAAATACATTTCAGAGTCTATTTCAGAAAAAAATACATCTAACTGTATATAACTACAAAGTACCAAGAATCTATTGGAGATATTCTTCCAAAATGTCACCTCTCAAACCCCTCTTTACTCTTTTAACATCCCGAAAATTG